TAAAGAGAGACTGGGAGAGCAGCACAGGGAAGTCTGCTTTTGGCTCGTCCTCAGCAGGGGGTTTCCCCCAGCAGGAGTATCCAGCAGGGTGCTGGACACTCATGGTCATACCTTAGGCAAGCTCTTGCTGGTTTGGCACTCGGTCATACCAACTTTGGTCCAGGAGAGATGGCCTTTTGTGGTCACCAGAAATGTTACATGCCGGTGTGAAATGTTGTGGGCTGGTGTCGAGGGTGCTTGCCTTCACAGGCCAGAGAACTGGCTCGTGAGGCAGCTGATTGACTTGGAATGGCTACAGCTAGAGCAGTGTTGCGGAGCCCAGAAACCGGTGGCTCCCTGCTCAGGTAAAGGCTGGGGGTTTTATGGACACTTCAGCTCTGGGTTAGGGTAGGAGTTAGGTGGGCTCTTTCCATTGGTTGTGGATTTGTGGGCTCTCTTAGCTGGTCTGTTTGCCCCATATGGGAGGGAAACAACCTTGAGAGCATTTTATTTGTCAGCCCCATGGCAGATTTATGAGACCCTGTATCTCCTCCTCAGGGTGCAGGAATGCAGATTTATAACTCCTTCTCAGGGTGCAGGGCTCATAGTGCTCTCTGTGGGGGATGGGATACTTGCTCATCTGTCCTTTAGGTTCTCAGACCCAACATAGGCAAGGGTTTTATTCCACAATTTAAGATTTCTTCCTTTTCTACAATCGAAATATCTAGAGATAGCATAAAGTAGAGGTTAGGAGTATGGAAGAAATGAGGAATGGAGACGGGAAGTTCTGTGAAAACATAAATATTAAACTTGAGAAGTTGTGTGTGGGCAGTAGTCAAAACAATGATTGAAGGAGAGGAGAGTATGAGAAAAAGATAAAGCAATGAGTTAAAAGAAATGACAAGGCTTTCTGATGGCCGGGGCAAGTTGTGCACTTGTACATTTGTGTGTATTTGAAATGGGGATAAAGGAATTATAACAAATCAAGTGCTTATGAAGAGGATAGATCATAGTAAAAGTAGTGGAGTTTGGTTAGAAAAGGATGATCGCTTAAGGAAAATGGATGTGGAAATTAAGGAGAGTTTAGAGGTGTCAGTAATATCTTTGTCATTTTAGAACAGAAATATTCTGGTAGTTTTCAGAAAGGCCTGGAGATAAGGTGAGGGATAGAATCAAGGGAACTAGCCTTTTATCTAGTGCTTCCTGGTTTTCCCTGCCATGTCGAGTACTTTACTGACTTCATTAATTCTGCAAGATTTATAATATTCCTATTTTACAGCTAAAGAAACTGGTTTCAAGAGGTTAAGAGGCCACCTTAGTTCCAGAGCAACTTGTAGGATGGGTTGATGCATCCCACATTCCTCCCCAGAAATGTCTGCATGCACACAAACACTCTGGTTAGTGACTCACCAAGAACTTCAGCTCAGTAGAGAGACAGAGATGGGATTGGAACCCAGTTCTCTCTTGATTCCAAACCTGTATTCTCTAGAGTTAACTGTTGTTAGAACTATATGACAAAAAAACCCATATTTTAATCTCTTGCTTGAAATGCTCTGCCTTTGCAGCAGAAGGCTTTCTGTTTTTAAAATAATTTGTACGCTGCCTTATTCCAAAAAAAAAAAGAAGTTACTACAGAGGAAGATGAGAAGCAGCCTAATTATCCCACTGTTTGAAGAAACTTAAATCCTTTTGCGTTATGCTAGCCTTTTTGGACTAGAGCTATGAAAACAGTGCTACTATCCTCGGTCAAAAAGTATATGGTAGTCTACATAGGAAGCAGAGTTGGGAGGATCACAGCTTGAGGGCAACTTGGGCAAAAACGTTTGGGAGACCCTACCTCAAAAAACAAACTAGGCATGGTGGGGCACATCTGTAATCCAGCTACACAGGAAGTAGAAGTAGGAGGATTGTGGTCCAAGGCTGGCCCATCAAAAGCAAGACCCTGTCTGAAAAATAAACTAAAGTAGAAAGTACTGGAGGTGTACTTCAAGTCGTAGATTGCTTGCTTAGCAAGCTCAAGACCCTGAGTTCAAACCCATGTACTGCCAGAAAAAAACAAACCAAACAAACAAACAAAATAATTTTGTATATTTCTAGAATTTTCTGGTTAATAGTTTTGGGCTGTAGTTAACAACAGGTAGCTGAAACTTTGGAATATACTAGCAAATGTTCAGGATAGGCAAATATATAAAACATAGATTAGTGGTTGCTTAGAGCTAGAGATGGAAAATTTCTGATATGATAACTGAACGATATGGGTTTCCTTTGTGTGTGTGTGTGTGTGTGTGTGTGTGTGTGTTTGTCTTCAAGGCATGACTTCAGGATATGCCAAAAGGGTATGATTAATAAACTTGTATGGTATAGATATGTGAGAGACAGAGTAATGAATGAACAACCAAGAGTGTGAACTATGTCACATTTTTATATTATACATTATCATTCAAAACCTTTTAAACAGTGTTTTAGAAGCATTAAGTCTTCTAGCTACTTGCTTTAATTTGTAACTCAGACACACTGTGGTTGGGTGTATTTTTAGTCTAACTAGACATCCCAGAAAACCATCTCATCTCTTGGCAACAGAAACTTTTAATCAGTTGACTTTCAGACAATGCTGCTTTCTCTTGTTCCTAACTTCATTATGTGTTCAACTAGAGACACTTTCCTAGGTGTGTTAGGTCTCTTCTACGACAAAGTAGAGTAAAATTAAGTTATTTTAGTATGCTGTGGCAGTAGGAACATAGGCCTTAGAACTAAAGATACACTATGGTTTTAAGTTCACCTCAGCTGTATAGAAAAGGGAAAATTATGTTCTTCATTTCTCTGTCTACAATTTGGGGATTACATAACTATCTGTATGGATTCAGTGTGATATAATATATTTAAAACACTTAGCATGGTGCCTGACAGATAATGGGGTCCAAATAAATGTTGACATTTTCCCCCCCTTTCCTTAAGGAAGAGACAGTTTTGCACATATTCTTATTAATTTATGAGAAATTTATTGATGATATTCATTATGTGCCAAGTACCATGTTTGGGTTTGGGGAGACACAAATGAGGAACAGACATTTAAAGTATATTTGAAGCACATGACCAAGCTCACGGTTCCTGACTGTTCTGAGCCGGCATTTTGAAGCTTCTTTACTTAACCAAAGGCTACACTGACAATAATAATAATGTTAGCTTTATGTTTATGTTCTGTATTTTTACTTTCATGATTTTAGTGACTCTTAGTGTCACTCCATATCCCTCCAAGTACTTCTTGGGCTTCAGAGCACTGCCATAATAGTAAAACCCTTTTCTTACCCAGTAATTCAAATAGGTCTTGCCTGTATCTTGAATGACACTTTGCCTGGTGATGTCAGCAAAAATGGCAAGGTGAGGAATTCTAAAAGCCATCCCTTTGACAGTCAAAATTAACTTTAGTGGAACTCTAGAAACTAAGTTTATAGCAAATAAGTGAATGCTTAATCAAGATTTCATAAAAAACCTGAATCTTGACATTTACGGAACTCTCTTGAATCACTGATGACTGAGTTAACAGAATAGACCAGAATAGACAGAAAAGCCACATGTGACAAAGACTAGACTTTCAAAATCAGTTTTAAAAAGTTTTTAAGTAAGCCAACAACTGCAATCAGAGAAACAAGCCCAGTGGAGGAGAGTGAATCTTATTTTCATATAATATATTACAGTATAGTTATGGATGCATGGCAACATTTTTGGTCAACAGGCTGCTTATATAACAGTATACACCATATAGCCTAGGTGTTGTAGGCTATACCATCTAGATTTGTGTTAGTACATGCTATGATATTTGTGCATTGACTTTTGGCTCTTGTGCATACTTTTTTTTTTTTTTTGGCAGTACTGGGGTTTGAACTTTGGGTCTCATGTTTGCTAGACAGGCTCTCTACCACTTGAGTCGCTCTGCCAGCCCTGCATACCTTTCCTTGTATTGTGTTGATTGGTTTGTCTGCCCCACTGGACCTGATTCCTTGAAGACCTAGAGTGTGTTTCATTCCTTTCTACATTCCCAGTGCCTGGATAGTGCATAAGTATCTGGCATATAGTAAGTGTATGATAAATGCTTGGTGAGACATATATTAGGCAAAAAAGGTAAGAAATTAGTTGTAATCTGTAGGGCAGGTGATAGTTATCTGCATGTGGTTATAACACAATCAGATTCATAAATGGTTCTGGGACAACTAGATATGAAGTTAGACCCCAACCTCAAACCATATGCAAAATTAAGCTCAGAATGAATCAGAGACCTAAATGTAAGTGGCAAAACTATAAAACCCTTAAGAACAAAACACTTGGGGAAATGTAGCTGCAGAGTAACTGCTCTCTTATAGAATTTATCATGCTAAAGTACAGTGGACTTCAGCATATAACATGGGTAATGTGGCATTTGTAAGGAGTTTTGTTTGTATTTTATAGGTTGTAATGTCATAATATAATACATAAAACAAAAATCATGTGTTCTTGAAGTCCCCTAAATTGCCAGGATTTAGACCTTTGGAAACTGAAATATAATGAATTATACATTTCATTTTGATTCACTACCTAAAAATACCACTCCTGTGCATTTTTGTAAGTACTTCAATGTTTACTTCATAGAAAGGCTGATTTAGATTGCTACAGGAGAGGTTTAGGTCAAATGAAAAGAAAATTTTGTTTGTAAAGTTGATTTAATGTTGTATTTACCCTATTAAGAAAGGTGAAGTTTCCCTACCTCTCGCCAAGCACGGCAGAACAGCCGTGCTTTAGGCAGGGTCTACTTTGGAAACAAAAGGTTGAACAAAATGTCCTCTTTGGAGCACTCTTTCTGTTTTGGCAAGGTTTGCACTTAGAAGAATGTGTTTTGTTAACAAATAAACTCATTTTCTATTGTAGCTGCCCAAGGGAATTGTCTTTCTTGGTGAGTGGCTTAGAATGCATAAAGAGATTGTTATGTTTTTCCTAAGCTAGTATATGGACTAATTTTGACTGTTTACCTTTTATTTGTTCCTTTTTAGGAAGCTAAACTCTAAAGTGCAGAGGAGTCAGAGCTGCAGTGACACAGTTCAGGACAGAGTAAAGAGCAGACTCAGAGCAGCTCCACCCAACAAAGCCAAGGTATACCTCTACCTCAGCTCCTTGGGCTCCCTAGCCCCACCCATAACTTCCCCTACACCCAACAATGGAAATTACTCCAGATGAGAAGAGGCAGAGTATGTCTCAGGCATGTTATAGAATTCTACATACAGATGTGAAGGAGGAAAGTTTAAATTAGTAGCCAGAGTAGTAGGCCATTAGAGAAACTTTTTTAAAAACTCTAGATGAGGTATTCCCCGCTCAGATTTTTCTTTCTTTTTTTTTTTTTGGTGGTACTGGGGTTTGAATTCACTTGCTAGGGAGGCAATGGCTCTACCACTTGAGCCACTCTGCCAGTCCCTCCTTTTAATGTTAGCTGTTTGAGGTGTGTAGAAGTTTCTGTTAAATGGTGCATATTTTAGCTTAGGGAGTTTTCCCATTTCCTAGGTTTATCTCACCCTTCCCCTCTTTTCTTGTATTTGTTTGCTTGTTTTTTGATGGTACTGGGATTTGAACTCAGGACCTCATGCTTGCTAGCCAGGCACACTACCTCTTGAGCCACTCACCAGCCCGTTCCCCCTTTTCTTGTCTGTCCCTTCCCTATCCTTCTACTATTTGTAGGAATTATGTAGAAAAAAATGCATGTATGTATATGTAATATTTTTAATTTCTTCCAGGTCACAACTATGACTCCAGCCTCCAATCCCATCATTGGTGTGCTCTTGTCCACTCAAAACAACCGCTGCCTCTCAGCCCCTGACTTAACCATCGAAAAGCGCCTGCCCTTTAGTTCCCTTTCATCCTTGGCTTCCTTGCATAAACCAGAGCGCTCTATCAGCCCTGAGAGCAATGACAGTATCTCTGAAGAGCTAAACCATTTCAAGCCCATTGTCTGCTCTCCATGCACTCCTCCCAAGAGACTTCCTGATGGCCGTGTACTGAGTCCCCTCATCATCAAATCAACCCCTCGCAACCTCAGCAGAAGCCTACAGAAGCAGACTTCTTATGAGGCTAGTCCACGGATCCTCAAGAAATGGGAGCAGATCTTTCAGGAGCGGCAGATCAAAAAGACCCTTTCAAAAGCCACTCTCACCTCCCTGGCTCCTGAAACAGGAGAAGACTTACCAAGTTCTGAAGGTATGCATTCTAGCAAGGAGAAGCCCCTTCTGGCTTTAAATACAAGGCTGTCCAGTGGGCAGGTGCTCTCCGAGTACACTGGACCCACCTCCACTGACCTTGAGTATTTCCCCTCTGGTAGCCAAACAAAAGTAGAACAGGGCAGTGATAAAAAAAGAAGCACTGAGGTCCCACTGGAAACTTGCTATTCTTCAGAACTCAGAGAAGCCAGTGGGGCTTCTTTAGAAGGACAACAATTTGAGGGGTCAGGGTCAACCCCAGATGCTATGTCAGACAAGACCTGTATAAGCACAACCAGGAAAATCTCGACAGTTAACTCAGTACTACCCCAAAACAATGTTTTGGGTGGGGTCCTCAAAACAAAGAAACAGCTAAAGGCATTGAATCATTTTGACCTAGCTAATGGTGTCCTGGTAGACAGCCTAGATGAGGAACCACTTCCGTCTTTGCGTCGGGGCCGGAAAAGACACTGTAAGACCAAGCACTTGGAACAAAACGGCTCCCTAAAAAAACGGCGACAAACCAGCAGTGAAGGGGGTCTGGCCCCAAAAGACCCAGTGCTGCGGGAGATGGAGCAGAAATTGCAGCAAGAGGAAGAGGACCGGCAGCTGGCTCTGCAGCTACAGCGCTTGTTCGACAATGAGAGGCGGACTGTGAGTCGGCGGAAAGGAAGTGTGGATCAGTATCTCCTACGGTCCAGCAGCATGGCTGGGGCCAAGTAGCATTTAATGAACAGTGTTAACTATTTTAAGAGGTCTTTGGGCCTTGATCATTTATCCAGAGTTGCTGAGTGTTCTCTCACATTGGGTTTCTTTTCATTGCAAAACATTGTCTAATAATGGTTCTAAGAGGTTTCAAGGTCTTGATAAAGTACGAGGAACTGCATCTCTGTTCTCCCTGACCCAGGCCAAAAGCACTCCTCACACGGAGTGACCCACCTCTGAGGCTTCTGGGCTAAGTTTGGTGGCACTCACTTGGAATGAGATTTGGAATGACCTTATTCAGGAGAATAATGGCCAGAGTTAGAAATGGTTGAGGAAAGAGAGGATACCTTCTCAAAGTGATAGACCTCCTGACTTCTTTCAACAGGGTATTGTCTTAAATCAGCCTTGCAGATAAAAAATTAATTCGTCTTTTTTCCAAAGTGGAGCAGTGTAGTAGTACTTTGAAAGGTCCAAAATGATAAATTTTTACGTTCTTTCTCTTTCCCCTTGCCACAAGTAGCTCTACCTACCTAAATCAGTTGAGCATATGCTTCTACAAGATCACATTCACAGACATTGTTTAACTTGGTCTTCCTAAGAGACCTAATTTTTAACAATGGAACTGCTGTGCACACGTTCAGGTTCTCTCAACTAAGTGGCATAGCCCAGACTGAAGCTAAGTATCCTGGCAACAAATCCCATGGATTTCCTACACGCATGGGTTGTACGAATGAACTGCAATCCAAGGGTATGCCAGGGTTATCTAGAGAAAGCTGGCTGGGCATTGGCATGTGCCCAACAGTGCATAACCCACCTGCAAGTTGTTAAGATTGATGGGCTGTGTAAGCATATGCTGTGCAGTTCTCCCCCTTTCCCCATTTACAGTCTTCTGTTTTCCTAGGGGTTCCAGCCTGTGAGACGAACTGCAATGGGGCTTCATTATTACTTTCCACATGGTAGTGGTTATCTGCAATGTTGATCTAAAATCCTAAAAAATTGCCCCAAAGTCAGGTAAAGAACAATGCTGAAACTCCATACTATGGAAACAAGGTATCTAGCTGGATACAGCTGGTAAATTCAGTCCCATGGACCTTTGGGGTTTACTTTTTAGCAGCTGACACCATGTGTCTTTTGCATCCTTAGTGGTGCTTGGTGCTTCTGCCCTTCTGGGCTCATTGAGAATAGGGATCAGGTTGATTTTAGGGAATCTCAGATGGGCTGGCATTCCCTTAGTATGAACTGTTACCATAGTCATGTGACTGGCATTTTAACAAACCTTCCAGAGCTTGTATACCCCAATGTATGCCGTCCCCCTTGAGTTGCCCCAGCAGGAATTGCAGTTTTTCCAGTGATACTGCCTTTGGTCAAAATGTTTCTGAAATTCTCCCCTAAGTCTAGAAACATCTAGAGACGTAGGCTCACTCCTAAAATGTTGGAACTCAAGGGACCTTAATGGTTATCTGTTCTAACCTCCTCTGTTCACTAAGGCAGAGGCCGAGGCCCAAAACAGACTCACTGGTCAAGGAAGTACATATAGCACCTTCTTCTCAGGGCAGATCTTTAATCTTTTGGAGGTATAGGAGAAGAAAATTTAAATGTGGAATTAGTCAGAAGCTATTTGAAGCCTCTTGAAGAAAGGTGGGTTATCCAGAGGGTTATAAATGTGAAGTAGTCAGAGCCATTTTCTCCTTCAGCTCATTGTTCCCGGACAGTTCCCAAAGAGGAGTCCAGCGATGTCAGGCGCATTGTGGTCATCACTGAGATAACGAGGAGTCTTTAGTGACTATTCTGCCTGGGAATCATCCCTCAGCTGAGTGTATGTATGCTGAGTGTTTGTATTCCCTGTGCGTGCATGTGTGCAAATTATGTTTTAAAAACATATGCCAGTCTCACACTTTATATTCACACCACTTCATTCTAGATCCCACGCAATTTACGGCCTCTGAGAGGTGTTAGAGGTCATATTAGTGGCCCAAATAGAAGAGCTGGCACTTGGCCTTCAGAGGCTAGGGAGAGTGACCTTACTAAATGCTCAATAGAGAAAACTTACCAGTTTTTGCCATTTTGTGTCATCCCTTTTTGATCTTAGTAAATATTATTGGAAGACAAATATTATTGGTAGTAACAAAGACACTTATTTTTCCACTTCTCACCTTTTTCTATATCTCCAGTAATTTAAAAAACACTTTCAGTTGGAATTGATTTTTTGGTAAAAAGAAAAGTATTTTTAATAGATGAAAGATACATATTTTAAATATTTCCCCAAGTTAATACTTTCATTTTAAGAACGTTTACAGCATTAGCAACAAGTTTAGGCTTCGGGTTCAGCGTAAAAAACTATTACTTGCTAAGAAAATATTCCAAACACTAGATCCAGCTTATTGACTATCCCCTATGTACTTACTGTTATGTCCAGCATGGTATAGACAGGTATTTTCCACACTTCCAGCTGAGCAGTAGTCCTTCAAATATAGGCAGAGCAGTTTAGGTTAAGGAGAGAAGCGACTTAATCTTTACTCTGCTTGGCTTTGGAGAAGGAAAAAAAAACTACTAAGGTATTATCTGCATTTTAAGATGTTTCTGGCCAGGTGTGGTGGCTCACACCTGTAATCCTATTTGGGAGGCTGAGATTGGGAGAATCAAGGTTTGAGGCCAGCCTGGGCAGATAGTTTGTGAAACCCCATCTCCAAAATAACCAGAGAAAAATGGAGTAGAGGTGTGGCTCAAGCAGTAGAGGATGAGGGTGAAGTCCTGAGTTCAAACCTTAGTCTCACAAAAAAAAAAAAAGATGTTTTCATACTTAATAACTAAAACCTGAAAGCTTTCTGAAAAATTTCTATCTCTTGTTGCTTGACTGTGAATATGAAGTTGGTTACAAATAAGAGTTGTGACATGGATTCCTTGGGGAAAGCAATAATACAAGACAGGAAAATAGAGTGGGGAGCTAGAATGAGAGACTTGCACAAAACATTTCTCACAAATCACAGAAGCCCTCACTGTGCTCCTTGTACATATGCATTTTGTTTTTCTTCTTAGAAGGGAAGTTATGAGAGGTGGGAAAGTGGGAGTCATTCTGATAGGAAATCTAAGAAATGTGGTGCCCTCAGAAGGAGCCTCTCAGCCTGTATCCACAGCGAAGGAGACACTTTGGGAACATGCTCATGACCTGTTGATTGTATCCATTGGAAGAAGCTGGGGCCTGTTGGGCTGGTAGCAAATCAAGGCATGTTACACCCAGCCTCTGGCTCCTTTACTTGTTCCTTTAAAAAAAAAAGAAAAAAAAGCTTAAGTCTGACTGAGGCTTTCTGGGAAACCTTTCCTAAATTGCTTCATTTGTTTTTTAAATTTTTCCCTGGAGGAGGTGCTAGTTATAAATGTCTTCTCTTCTTCTCCTAAGGGAAAAATGCCCTTCAGAAACTAAAGCTTCTTAATTAATTATGGTCTGATTACAAACTGGCCAGTTGACTACAGTGGGAAGCTGGTGACAGAAGGCTGTGCTCATCGTCCTTTCTGTTCATTTGCTAGGTGTCTCTGAGCTCTCATACTTGTGCAACCCTGTGTCAGGTCCTGGGTACAGAAGGGGAGAGTCCCTGCTGTCAGAGCTCAGTGTCCCGTGGAATGTATTTGAATGTGTGGCAGGAGAGTATGTTAGTGGTCTTGTGGAAGGCCGTTTGTTTATAGCAGTGCTCTTCAGGTGGCCCTGTTCAGATGTCCAGCACTCATCAAGCTGCCTAGAACATTTTACATATCCCATCAGTATTTATGAATTTGATTGCAACATAGCTTTTCAGTTCCTAGGCAGTTTTATTGAGGGAGAATGAATCTTCTGTAGTAATTACAAAACAGGAACCCCTTTTCAGGAGCAGCTTTTAGCTCAATCTCCTAGAAATGAGGCAGGCTGTGGATCACTGACATGGTCAAAGGCAGAACACCCTTCACTTAGTAACCTCTGGATCCCTTCTCCAACCCGACCTTTCACCAGAGCTGGCAGCAACCTGGGATTCCTTCCCTTTTTCCTGCCTGGCTTCTCACTGAAGTGAAGAGCCAGCAGGAGAGGGCGAAAAGAAAAATCAAAGGCTGGATCATAATCATAGGATATGATAGCTGGAATGGGTGTGGAAATCATCCAAGCTGTACTTCCCCACCCCTCTTATTAACAAATGAGGATCCAGTGCCTGGTGCCCTATTTTATACTGTAGTTTTTTAGGGTCTGAATAAATTATCATTAAAGCAGTACACATACAACTTGCAAATGGGGGCATACCCAGATGATATAGGTTTTAAAATAGCTTTTGACTTTGATTTTTTTTTTAGTAAAACTAAAATCTACTGGTATCTCCTGAGTATACACATGTAGGGAAAACCCGTATGATATAATGTAAATGTGGAATCTTGGAACTGATAATTTTTTATTGGAATAACTATCATTTAAATTACTAATGGTTAAAAGCTACCCAGCCCTTCATTTTTCTTTCAAAATTGGAAACTCTTTAGGGTCTTAAATCTTTCTTAGCCTGTAGAGTGGTCTTTTGACCTGGTCTTTGGAGTGAACAGAGCTGGTTATAAATTCTTTTGACTCAGTGAGAAAGCAGGCCTATGGGGAAGGGGTTTGGGGGTAGATTCTAGGGAAAGAGGCTGCTGAGTAAATTTTCTTCTAAGGGTGATCCTGAACTGCATCTTTACCCATGATTGTTGTCCTGTATCTTTCTGAAGAGGACTGTTCTGTAGAAGAGACTTAGAGATATTGTAGAGGTCACCAGTTTAAAGATTAGTCAAATTGGATGAAGGGAAAAAGCACTAAGACTAAATGAGCAGATTGTTCTATATGTATTATCAGTGTTTTTTTGTTTTTGTTTTTACTTCTAAGGAAAAAAGATGTTCTCACTCTCCTTTGTGAGTGTATGCTTCCTTAATGTCTTTACAGAAAGGTGGCAACTTTGCATCATGTTTAAGGCAACCTCAAACTCTGAGCAGGCTCCCTCCCTGTCTTTCTTGGTGTCTCAACTTCACAAAGGGTTGGACAAAGCCAAGGAAAGCAAGGCTTATTCGTCTTACTTTCCTCTCACTCAATACGAGAAACAAACAATCCTCTCTTCAAACAGCAAGCTGTTAAAGCTCAAGAGGCACTTTTGGCCCCGAGTGCAGATCAATATGACAGCAGCCAGATGTGCAGTTGCTGGCATTGCCTACCCTCCAAGCTGTGCCACCAGTGGGAGCAGGGGCTCCCCCCTCAGAGTCAGGTTGGCACCAACCCTGGACCTCCAGCTGAGCATTTACAGTCCTGAGAGAACAGATTCTATGCAAAAGAGGAAATGATTAGCTTAAATGCCACCTAATGGATTTTTTTTCCCCTTTTTTGCGCCTGATGTGCTGTTTACTCTTGACTACGTACAAATATGGTTGTCCTCAGAACCTTTTCCCTTCCCGCCTAGAAATAGAAAATGGAATGTCTATTGGCTTTAGTCAACTGCTGCAACTCCCTGGTGGTCTAGTGGTTACAATTTTTTCAGCCTGCTGTCTACACTAGAATTGGAGGATTGGCCTTGGATCCTTGTGAACTGCCACTTCTGGCTGCCCTTCTCCACTCATCACAAAGAGTGTTTTGACAAAGACAGAGAACTTGGAACAGGGAGGCCCTGTCAGGGATGTTTTTACCACAATGAAATGGTGTGGAATCAAGTGGGATGATGTGTTATTTAAACAGTACCAAAGTGCATTCTTCAATGTATGTTTGCCTGCTTCAGGCGAGGCCCAAGTTGAGAATACAGTAAAGCAAACTCATGAAAGTAAATGTTCTGTTTCATATCAAAGTCTTGTCTCTGAAGAGTGATGTCAGACAAACATGGGCTAACCTTAGACTATGTGTTTGATTTTTTGTGTGCTATCTTTGGGCTGAGAGATAACCCACACTGAAATGCCTTGCTTTGGCATTCAGAATGATGGGAGAGAGTAGGTGCTGGGATGGGATTTCCACAGTGTACAAGTACATCTTTAAAATAAGTTATCTCCAGTTTACAGTTTACTGTCATTCTCACATTCAACCAGTCATGCTAATGAAGGCACCAAGAAAGGGTGTGGAATGAGTGAGCAGGACGACAGTGCCCTTGCATGTGAGGGCTGAACTTAGAAATCTGATTTTTTAAAATACCCTTTTTTGGAACAATTGTTCAGAAAGCCATCAAAATACCCTTGGCATCAGGTTCTCATCTAACAGCAAATATATTCCTGTTCCATCTAAACTTGGAAAGTGGATGTGGAAGGCTGTTGTAAGAGTGCCATACATGGTAGGCCATGCGTGAGGGATCTTTGAAACCATCTGGCCCAAAACCTGCAAAAGGAGGGTGGTTAAAATGAACATGTAGCTAGGTGGAGGTATAAGAACAGTACTTGTCTCTTGGTCCCTAAAATAACAAAATGCTACCCATACTGCTCATTAATTCTCTTACAGCTGGCTGTGGAGGGTGGTGAGCTTCTCATTCACAGATGGAAACTGTGGCCCTAGTAGTTCATAGCCTAAAAGCTGAGCCCTCTCACTCCAAAGCTGCTCATTGCTTCTGCACCCCCTGGCCTAAGCCATACTGAAGAGCGGTGCCACCCGCTACAACTGGCCTTGGCTAACAGTGTGGTTCCAGTTTCTGTCTGGACTCCTCTTGGGACTGGGACTGACAGGACTAGGAACCAGCCTGTCTTCATTCTGCACCCACTGTGGGGCGGGTGGGCCTGGGGCAGTGTGGGCGTTAGGCACAATCTACTTCTGCATCAGTCGTCCTCTCTCTCTCAGCCATATTTGACTCTCAGAGTGCTCACTGGCATCTCGGGTGACTTGAAAAACAGCTCAGTATGGAAGGCTTCAAGGACACATCTAGGTTGAAGCTGAAAGGACAGGAGACATGAGCTGCCATGTGATCTTGCTAGGCCTTCCTACAGGAGTAGAGTCACTGGGTACCATGGCTTCATTTTTGGGGTTCTGTATTGCCATCATTTGGTTGTGTGAGGGAAAAGGAGTCAGTACTCTCACAAACAGCTAATCAGATAAGGAATTAAAAATTATCACCAACTCAGCAAGTCTAGGAGAGTCAAGCAATGTATTCAGCTGGTGTCTAACTGAGAAAGTGGTGTTTGGCCCAGGTTAAGTGCAGCTTTTTAAGAATGTTCTCACAGTGAAGCAGATATACTCTTGGCCAAAAAGCAGACCACCAAGGGACTTAGGCAGGACAGCCTAGCTCAGCTACTTGGGGAAGAGTCCAGAAGCTGTCTTGAAATCGGCACATGGAAGTGTCCAGGGTCTGGCGTTTTCAGGCCTGAGAGTCTATGGTGTGGTCACGGTTCTGGTGGAAGGGAGCAGTCCAGGAAGAGCTCCAGAACTGGAACCTGGTGAGGTTGGCAGTGTGACTATTGGAATGGGTTCTCCTAACAGTAGAGGAAGCCTGGTTTGGACCCCAGGAAATCCACGCTAGTAGGTCAGCAGCAGCCACGTGGCTGTGGCTGTGGCTCTGGCTCTGTGGTACACATGCATATGTGCATCTGTTCAAGTGCCTGCGTGAGTGGGTAAGAGGTACCTTTGTCCTTGGTGTGACTTGAATTTTTATTACCTGAAGGTAGATGTATATGTATGTCTGGGTAGCACCGCATCTTGATGGCAGGCATTTAACCAGCCACTGTGTGAGGCTGTGGAGCTGAGTACAACAGCACAGTTGCAGTTTAGGCTGTGGGAGGCTCAGCTGCCTTGCTGAGGACCCATAATCTTGTGTCACTGCTTCCTGGATCCTAGGGACTGCAGGTCTGTTACCCAGGCCTGAATTACGGGCATTCCCCAGGACAGGATCCTCGAAAGCAAAGGTTACCCACCCAGGTGACGAGGTCCCATCCAGTATTCATCCCCAAATGTGCATCCTGGAATCCAGCCCAGTGGTCTTCCCCAGATCCTCCTCTGTAGCAGGTGCTGTAGACCCGCACACGTACCAAAAATGGGGCAGCCTCAGCCTGTCCTGACTTACTGGGAGCCCAGGTGACTGCTCAGCCCTGGGGTGTTCTGGAGACACAGTCAATGTGCATTTGCATTGTGTCTTTCAGCAAGGAGATTACTTGAAATCTCCATGTAAGCCCCTCTCCTTTCTGGATCTGTGACCATAGCCCTGTGATTAACGGCACGTTCCATCTTCTCCCTCCCAAGTGAAAAAGCTGCCCCACAAAAAAAACGCAAGACCTCAAGCCTTTGGTTTTGCCGGCTTTTCTGTTTCATCACCCCCATTTTCTATCACTTATCACAGCTGTTGTACGCATGGGACTCAAATGTATGCATGAGGGGCCCCATAGGACACCTCCAGGGATTCTTCCCAACTGTGACAACTCTGCTGTGGCCGGGGGGCTTCCAAGGAGCCAGGCACCCACTCGACTGCTTTACGCACCATTCTTTATTGTTGCTGCACCAGGCACCAGGTTCGGCCTGGCCCAGCCTGGCCCGGGGAGGTCCTGAGTTCCTCACTGCGCTTAGCGAGCGAGATGGAGCCAAGCGCCCAGGCCCTTGCCTGGCCCGGCCGTCCAGGCGTGGTCAAGGGCGCTGAGGCCTCGGAGAACCCGGGCACTGCCCTAGCCTTGTGAGTCGCTGGCCATGGGCTCCAGGCAGAACTCATCCATGAACTCGAGGAAGCGGCCGAACTTGGGCTGGCCCTCGCCGAGCGCCGGGAGGGCGGGTTGCGGCGGGCCGGCTCCGAACACCTTCCGCAGCGAGCCGCGCACCAGCCGCCGGTAGCGCGCCCGGAACTCCTTCAGCAGCCGCTTGGCCTCCAAGTACTGCTTCTGGTTCACCAGGCGCTGCTCCGGGGGCCCGCGCAGCACCGCGCCTGCGGGAGACCAGCGGGAGCCGCGCCCAGCTCGCCCGGTTCCCACTCAGCGCGACGCGCCGGGGGTGGGGCGGGCGTGGGCGGAGGAGGTGAAGGGGTGAAAGTGGCCTCTCCGCTTGGGGCAGCGGCTGGCCCACGCGATCCCCTCCCAACTCTCCAGCCTCGGCTCAGGTCCCTAAGGGGCTTGGCCTTTCTGCAACTCGGGCTCTCAGAGAGGGCGGGGCGCGATAAGGCCTCTCTCTGCGGCCTTCCACCAGCCGCCCCGTGATGCTGGATCCGGTCCTGCCACAGCCATACCTAGCGGGGCCTCTGTGAGGTTCCGAGAGTCCCGCATGCGAACGAGGATGTCGTCCAGCAGCTGCGCACGGGTCTTCCGCGGGGGTGGAATCGGGACCCTCACAGCCTGGCACAAAGCAGGGGTGTTGGGCCAAGTTTGTCGCCGCAACGGGCAGGAGGCGCTTGGGAGTAGTTTCCCCTTGGGAAACTGGCCTCGAGGGGCCCAAGGTGACAGTCACTTCAGTACTGGGGAGGGGGGGGCCCTCAGGGGTCACACGCACCCAGTGGGCTGGATGTTTACCCGCCTCTCCTTGGGGATGTAGGGTTTCTGAAACGCGTCCAGCTTGGCCTTGGAAGAGCGGCAGAGAAGCGGGCACTTGAGCATGCGCTGCAGGGCCTGGGCGTTCTTCTGGATGCCTAGAGAAGGTAACGCCGAGACGCCTCTCTCACTTCCAGCCTCACTGCAGCCTCGGCAAAGGACTGGAGAGGCCTCAAGAGAAAACACCCTCCAAATCTCCCTAATTGGGCAAAGTTTCAGCATTCATTCAGTGAACATGTACCCTGTGAGTACAGCTCCTGACAGAAGCATAGCATTGGTCCTGCTGGGAAACAGGCCTCAGTGTGATCCCATTAGCCTCAGGGAGGCTACACTGCGGGGGCTGACACCCCGAGGGTTCAGCTGACAGCCAGTTCCTTTGGTAGCACAGATACTGTTACTGCATCACGATGAAATGAAGAATGAGGGGCTGAGAGAGGGAACGCCTTCCTCTCCTCAAAAGCAAATAGGATTGTGGATGTTCCGTTTGAGGCTTAATTGGGCTGGGAAGAGCTCAGCAATCCTGGCCAGTCTGGATGTTTGCTCATCAAACCTTTTTTGAGGACTTTTCCAGCCAGAATAGCTGGACCAGACTAGCTGGAATCTCTGAATAAGCTGTGGCCCCAAAAGCCAGTCAAAGTCCAGGAAAGGACAGGGATCTTGACTGACAGGGCTTCAAGTCAGGACACCCTAAGGAAATCTTTTGATGACATTGAGACAGAGGCCAGCACCCTGGCTGGGAAAAGATTGTTCAGCACCAGCCTTGGCTTGGCCAGGACCTTGGATGTACAGTTGCTTATGGCCTTCACATACCTTTTGGCTCAGTGAAGGCTGGGTCAGGTTTGGCTGTCAGCAGCTCCTCATAGCCGTGGTACTTGCTGGGGGTGGAGGCAGATGGGAACATCCTCCGAGTCCTCTGTACTTCTCTGGGCACTGCTGGTGGTCTCCTTTGGTCTTTCTCCTTTACCTGTAAGTCATCTCTGTGGATGACGGAGGAAGGCAACTCACTCACCTGTATGGGGAAGAAAACACATTCACTTATACCCTGCCCACTTCTGAGCATCAGCTCTGTACTGGTCCTCATGCTGGGCCCTGTTAAGGGCAAGACAGAGTCTGGGACAGAAGAGGCAGATAAGAAAACAAGAACCAAACACCTTCACGAATGCTGTCACTAGAAAGAGGCATGGTGGTCTGGGGTGATCCCAGAGGAAGCCCCAACCCCGACAGCCAGGAGTGAGTGATTCCTTAGCCTGAGCCAAGTTGGGGAGCCAGGAGAGCTGTCTCCAGGCAAGGTGGAGAGGGGCCAGATTGCAAGAGATGAGAAAGGGTGACTGTGGCAGGCTAGGAACAGCACCTGCAAGGGCGCAGAGATAAGGCCATCAAGGTCCATTCAGCGCAGGACTGGCGCAGCTGGAGGTCAGGGAAGCATCAGGGGCAACTTTAGGTTCTGCTTTAGCAACAAGCAGACCCAGATGGGGAAGGACCTTTAAATGCCAAGCCGAGGATATCTGTTTTGTTTTGTATGTTCTTTATCCTCACTCTGATGGCAAGTTATGAAGGATTTTAGCCTACCCAAAAATACAGCACACAAAACCACATTTCATGTGAGGAAATAGTTATACCCTCTGCTAAAAAGTCTGGTGAAAGAAGAAATAGAAAATCTGAATAGACCTGTGACAAGTAAAAAGGTTGAATTAGGAATTTTACAACTTCCCACAAGGAAAAGCCAAGGGCAAGATGGGTCTACTGGTGAATCCTATCAAACATTTAAAGAATTAACAGAAATTCCTCACAAACTCTTTCAAAAAATTAGAAGAGGGAACATTTCTAGCTCATTCTCTGAGGTCAGGACTGCCTTGAAATCTACACTACAGAAAGACATCACACAGACTAGTATCACTTACGAATATAAATGCAAAATCCCCCCATGCAAAATCCCAGCACCATGTGCAAAGGATTAAACACTATGACCAAGTGGGATTTATTCCAGGTATGCAAGGTTCATTTAACATCTCAAAATCAATTAATGAAATACATTAGATCAAGACAATAAAAAATAAACCTTGTGATCATTTCTATGGACAACAAAAATTTAACAAAGTTCAATATCCCTTTTATGATGAAAAAAAAAAAAAACCCCACTAAATCAGCTAGCTAGGAATAGAAAGAACCTTCCTCAACCCAATAAAGGGAATCATGGAAAACCTGTAGGTAACATTATATTGCTGGCGGAAGACTGAACAATCCCTAAGATCAGTGAGCACCCTTATCTGAAATTTTTGGGGGCCGTGTTTTACATTTTGGAATGTTTGATAAGATACCTGGGGATGGGACCAAGTCTACACACAAAAATTCCTTTATTTTAAATACACTTATACACATTATTTGAAGGTAATTTTATTTAATATCTTAAATGGTTTTATGCATGAAACAAAGTTTTATGGTGTGGAATTTTCCCCTTATAGGACCATGTTGCTACTTGAAAAGTTTCAGATTATGGAGTATTTTGGATTTCAGATTTTTTGGTTGTGGATGTTCAACCTGTTATTCCCTTTTCCCTACATGCCATCCTTGTCTGCACCAACCCTGGACATCTGCAGTTCCTGTTCGTTCCACTTTAGTTGCTCCCTGTGTACCCTATGTCATGCTGTTCCCCCTATCCAGAATGTCCTCACTATCCACATCTCCACCTTGCTTGTTCCTGCTCAGCCTGCAGAGCTGAGCTCATCTGGTGGAGGCAGAAGCATCCTTCAGGATGGCTCAGTCTCAGCACTGACTGCATGAATGGTGCTTACCCAGCATTCTGGTTAGACTGTAAGCACCTTGAGGACAGATCTGCACCTGAGCCATCTTTGTTCCCAGCATCCAGAGGCAGCCTGGGGAATGAGGTACCCTTAAGCAGGGAGGCAGGGGCAATAACAAGCCCCTATGAAATCACACTGCAGCCAGACCCCAGCCAGATGCTGTGTGCCACAGGACTGTGACTTCTACCCATGGATGCCCTGTGAGTAGCCTCAGATCAGTGGAGCTCCCAGAGGGGGTTCAGAAGCCCTGCCAAGAGGATTGCCTTCAGGTTTCCAGACCTGCCCTGTGCTTGCTCCCAACTTTGCGTAGCAGCCTAACCAGCTATGGGCTTTGCAGGAACGTGTGTGCACTGTGGACAGTGGGCAGGGCAGCTGCAGATAGGCACCTGGGTCAGGAAGATGGACTCTGTGCTCTTGGCGTCCTCATCTGACAGGTGATCTGGGCTGTGGCGGCCAACTGTGTCACTAGGGCAGGATGCAGTCTCTTCGCTATGCACAGTGGAGTCAGAGCAGATGGGAGGCATGGGCACGAAGGGCCGGCGGGACAGGGAAAGGCCTTCTGGGCCCTCAATGGGCAGATGAAGTTCCTGAGCGGTGCTTCTGGCAGGGGGAGGCTCATCAGCCAGCCCTGCCTCTGGCTCTGGCACATCACATAAGGGAGATTCAGCTGTGGTCATGCTTAGGTGACGAGGCATCACAGGCTGCTTCGTACCTTGGGGACTCGGGTTTTCACCTGTTGTGGAAGAAAGACTGGGTTGGATTTGCTTCTTTATCAGGAGTCTCTTCTGCACCTCACCATCCCCAGGCTTCTGTATAGTGGTCAGAGCACTGGGTATAGACTTGGGGGAAGGGGAGGGATATCACACTTTCTGAGCATCTGTATGTCCTGTGCGTGATGTAATTGTTTTATTTATACCTCAAAGTCACTCGGAACAATTACCCTCCTTTTATAGATGAAGAAACTAGGGCTCAGGCAGGTAAAATGAGTTGTCCAAGGTCCCAGGGTGATTTGGTGGCAAAGCCTGGATGTTCTGACTCCAGGCCTGGGCGCTAGACCTCTTCCTGACCATATCACTCTGCCAATCAAGCTTTACTACAGTGCCCTTGACTTTCCTCAGGGACTCCTAGGATGGGGTGCTGAGGGATCATCCTGCATTTTCTGGAAGGTGGCAGCATCAGGCCATTTTCAGGATGCTGGCCTGTGTACCTTAGATAAAATTCCAGAGGACAAATCTCTCTTAGAGCTTAGGACCAAGGGAAAACTTCCTCTTGAACTGTTCAATTTTTGTAACTAGCAAAAGCTTGCCACCATTCTCTCCTATGTCTAGACTGCCTGGAGGCTGCCTGGGCTCACTTTATCTCCCTGTTTACGTGATGGGTTGTTGTCCCTCTTTGTCAAAGGCATCTGTCCCACTGTGTACTTTTACAGAGCGAGAAGTAGAGTGGAAAGGTCCTGAGCACCTCCCTTTCTTCCTTGTGACATGGAACAGCTCTGGCCTTGTTTGTATCACTGTCCTCCCAAATGGAATGAAGGTGCAAGGGGACAGAACAGCCAAGGAGTGTGAGAATGTTTTTATAAAATAAACTTTTAAAGAAAACCTTTCCTTTTTAAAGTATGTAAAGTCTCGATGTTTTGACTTGAAGCTTGAGGGACCTAGAATCATCTTCAAAATGCACACCACAGGGGAATGGGCATCTGAACCACTGAGGGCCCTCACTTGGCCGTGGTGCGGAAGGAGTACTGGAGGGGTACTGGCAGAATGCTCTTTCTCTAGTCCACCACTACTATCCCAGCCCTTTTCTAGACCAAGCTGATCCCAAACTCACAGTTCTCCTGTCTCAACCTCCCGAGTGCTAGGATAACAGGCATGTGTGCCCATACCCAGCCCCTAACACTTAACTTTTGACAAGTAAGTTAGTGTCTACTTGTCCCTTTAAATGTTTGCTCTTGTCATCTGAGGGCTTAAGACAAGAGCTTGGCTGGACAGAGGCAGGCTGCTGCATGGACGGCAGGGAGAACTGTATTTAACTTTGGGGATCAGCAATGCCCAGTCCAGCATTTGGCTGTAGAAGACTAAAGTCAGGAGGAAGGAATCTTTCACAGAAATTTTTGAAATCTTCAGCAGAAGGAGGGATTTGACTTATTTTTCATGACCTTCTAGGTGGCAAGTCTAAGGGCAGGGCTGGGGGATGGAGGTGCCTGCCCTCAGCAGAAGGCCATGCTACCTTAGGATGCAGGCAAGAGATACATTCTGGCCCTGGTGCAGTGGGGACTGTGACTTGCACTGGTGTGGGCTGGGAGAGTTTGTAACGCATTTTTCTCATCCAGTCCTCTCAGAAGCTCTGAGAGGTTCCAGAGCTGAGAAACGTGAAGCTCAAAGATGGAAACTCTTGCCACAGTCAGCTATGGAAAATGACAGAGCCAGACCTTGAGGTCTTCCAACCTCAAGTCTGATTTCTCTCCACTTCTCCTTCTCTGGGCCTTAGCTTCTCTGTAAAATCAAGAGGGTCATGACTCAGTGACCTCTACAGCCTCTCTCTTCTCTTTTTGGGACTGTCATGTTCCCCCAACTTCTATCTGTATTTAACAGAGCAAAAAAGGGAGAGGGCAGTACTGTCTCTAATGGAGAAGGCCCAGGTACTATGGGAGTGAGCCACTCTGCTGCCAGGCTAGTCTTTGTGCATTAAAACAGGCACCACTTCCTTTGGGGCTGGGTCCCCCTTGAAAGACTTACCTTTCTTGATTCCTTTCGAGGCATCAAAATATGATGCTTAGACTTTACTAGCTTCCTTCGAATTAAGCGGATCCCCAGTCGCTCCTGGAGGAAGCTCTTTAGCAGTGGTGGGACACCTAGTGCCATGGTGGGAAACCAAGATGACTATTAGCTAACATTGACTGGGCCTTACTATGTGCCAAGCACTGCTCAAATTGTTTTACACATATTAATGTAACTTACTTGACTCTCTTATCAATCCTAGGCAGTAGGTACCATTTTTATTCCCATTCAATAGGCAAGAAAATGGAGGAACAAAGAGGTTAAGGAATCTTAACAGTGTGCAGCAATGATTACAACTCTGCTAGTGCCACTGCAGGCTCAGGATTCTAATCTGCCTCAGGTGCCACCCCTTGGACATCATCATTGATACATCATTGGGCTACATCATTGGTAGTGTCCTGTGTTCAGCCTGCTCTGGGAGTGAGGAACTGACAGGTGGGTCTGCACCCCTCTCCAGAATGGAAGTGGGAAATAAGGCCACTGCAGACCAGTCTGCAAAGCAGGGCATAACTTTAAAAGCTCCTGCCAGATCTAAATATCATGCTATTCCATTCCATCTCTTTCTGCTGGGTGACCCTGGGAGATCATGAGCCTCCCTGAGCTTCAATTTCCACCAAAGTCCATGGGAATGAAAATACGTTGTCAGGATGGTATGAAGCAGGTGCTCAGAACTGTCTGCCATGCTGTCCATTCCCCACAGCATCCATCCCAACATGGCGTGGAGAACAGGACCTGGCACTCATGAGGTGGGAATGAGGGTGCCAACACTGCTCCTTGCACACCGGGTGGGTGGGGGGATTTGTGGACACCATACCTCGGGTGTGGGACACCAGAGGGTTGTTATGAAAGATGAGCTCGCGGAGAGAAGGGAAGAGAGCTACTGGCAGGATGGCATCCTCCTTTGCAATCTGTAACAGATGCAGGGCAGATATTAGGTCAACCCCACCCATCACGTCTGCCCAGGTACATCAGGCTCCACATGCTTGCTAGGGAGAGGGTAGGGTTGGAGAAGTGATGCTGCTGTGTGTAGGACTTGCTGTGGCCAATGCCTTCTCCCTGTGATGTACCCTGCTCATGCCCAGAATGCCTTGTCCTACAGTCTGAAGAGTCTACCTTCACTGTTTCTTGTTTGAAAGTTAAGAATTTTCCTCTCTTTTCCACATTGGATATGTAGCCTATATCAAATACTGGGGGATATTGGTGTTGACATAATAAGAACAAACACACAGGGCACTGTCTGGCAAAGAATCTGAAAGATTGACAGAGCATTGTCAAGGTCAAGGACTTCAGGATACAATCTGTCCAACACATTCCCTTTCTCAAAGCAAACCTCTACACACCCCAGCAGCCTCTACACACCCCAGCAGCCTCTGGACAGCACTCCTGAGGGTTTCCCTCCTGAAGTAGTGAGCTGGGGAGGGTAGAGCCAGGAGGTCAAGGACCCACCCCACCTGTCTGAGAGGTAAGGGACACCTCATGGCTGTCTGGGACCCAGGAGCTGCTCTGCCCTTATGAAGCTGTTGTCTAAGTGGTGGCCTCTTGGCCAAGCCAGTCTCTGAAAGGCAAAAGTTACAACATTCCTTCTTGAGCAGAGTGCTGGAATATGTGGGACCATATTGGGGAGGGCATGTTGGCAGTGGACCAGTATCAGAGGGGCCAGGAGTAGAGCAGGACCTCTCAGTCCACTGGACACACTGGAAAAAGCTGAGTTGGATTCTGGACCTACAGAAATCATTAAGGTCCAAGGGTGGAAGCAGGAGCATCTCAGTTTAGCTTCTTCTGAAGCCTCACCAGACAGCTCAAGATTTCAACTGAGCTATTGTTATTCATCCACCAAACATGAATACCTACCATGTGCACTGTGAGCAAAAACAGACGTAATCCCTGCCCTCCAGGAATACTGTCTAGTGATAAGCAAGCACCAGAGAAACAGTAACAAGGAGAGTAGACTCACAAGTAGAAAACTGCCATAAGACAGGCACATGAAGCACTGGGGTGGGGAAGGGTTGACCTAGGAAGAGAGGTAAGAGGCAGGGTCACTGAGATCTGAAAGAGGGAGGGTAGTAGGTAATGAGTGAATGCGGGAGGGTGTATGGCAGAGATGCCTCCCAGACCATTTCTTCCACCCTTAGTGCAGAGCTAGATGATGCCTCCTAACTTCTAGGTAGCTAGGTGTGGGCAGGTGGCTAGCTGTAGCCAGTGCAATGTGGGTACAAGGGATAAATGCTCCTTCCAGGCATAGTGCCCATAAGACCTGCATATCCTCTACCTCCTTCACTACACTCCCCCCACTCAGCCTCTACCAATACATGAGATCCAATAAGGTCCTCATAAAGCCCTGCAAGTAACAGTCACAGCAAGAAGGGACCTGGGTCTCTGAATCACCATGTCAGGACTATGCTCGATGGACCTTGTGAAAGTAAGAAATAAACTTCTATTGTGTTAAGTGAGTGAGATGATCATCTGCTGCAGCTGCTGGTGTAGCTTCAACTGATGCAGAGAGGAAGAGTTCTGGGCCTGTTAGAGGAATTTAAGGAAGGCCAGTGTGACTAAAAGCAGAAGGATGGCAGGTCCCTGATGTTCAATGAGGCTGGAGATGCAGGTAGGAGCCAGACTAATGCTAAAGATTGTGGTCTTTGGGGAAGCCACTAGATAGATTTGAGAAATATGAGGTCCTAAATTTGACAAGACTTGGTGATGGAAGAGATATGGACAGGGGAGGGGATGTAAAGGACAGAGACTATTAAGGATGACACCAGGCTCTGGCTTGAGTAACTGGGTGGGTGATGAAGCTATTCAGTAAGATGGGAACAAGAGAAGAACATAAAATTTGAAGAGAAAGGTCGCTAACTCACTTTGGATATGTGTGCTTTAGAGGTACCTGTGAGACCTCCAAGGAGAGATGTTGAGTAGTCAGCTGGACACCCTGGTCTAGAATACAGAGAAGAGGTCTGTATTGGAGTTACACATTTGAGAGTTACTGTAAACGGGCCAATGGGCATCTGAGGCCATCCACAGGGAGAAAGTACAGAGTGGGAGGAGAAAGGGACTAGGGAGAGTCTGGAGGAAGCACAACACTTGATCTTCTAGACCATGGGCCAGTCCTGTCAAGGGTCTGATAGCTTTGCAGGTCATATGTTCTCTGTCACAAAGACTCAAGTCTGTGTTGTTTCCCCAAAGCAGCCCTTGACAGCTTATAAATAAATAGATATGTCTCTTTTCCAATAAAATTATATTTATGGACTCTGAAATTTGAATTTTACATAATTATAAGATGTCATGAAATATTACCACTTTTAATTTTTTCAAATGATTAAAAACATAAAAACTACTCTTAACACACAGACTACACCAAGTCCATGGTTGGCAAATATAGCCATTTGTTTAACTGAGTTTCTTTAGAACACAGCCTTTCTACTTTGTTGACATATGGCCTTTTGCTACAAGGGCAGAGTCAAGAAGCTGCAACCGAGTAAAATATAATCTTTCCAACAGAAAGTTTGCTGATCTATCATCTAGAGTTCAGAAAAGGAGGATGAACCTACAGAGGTGCAGGTGACAAAAGAATTGTACGATATTGATGAAAGAGGGCACAGTCTCTTGTACACAAATGAGGTGGTGGAGCGCCAATCCCTACAGAATGGGGGATGGAGAACTGAACTTGATATCGTCAGAGTCTGTCCATCCACATCAAGTCATTAAAAAGTTGAAGAAAGTTACGATTGAAATTGACAGGAAAGTGAATGATAAGACACAGGGCACATGTGTCAAGGGTTCTGTGAAATTAAGCCCAGATAAAAGACATGGATATAGGGTTTGGCTGATGTAAGCAGAATTGGCCTCGGGCCAGCCTATTCCCAGTTCCTGGAGCTACTTTCAGGTTCCAGTGATAAACACAGATGTCTTCCTAGCCCCACTGAGTTAAAGAGAGTATAACAACCAGTCAAATCTACGAAATAACTAAATACTGGTTAAAAATTAAGTAAAAGTAACTATTTTACTTTTGATATAAAATTGCTAACTTTTGAATGAATATTCTATATATTTAAGCTCTGTTTGAAGGCAGAATCAATTTTGAAATTTGTAACTTTGATAAATTGAACATTAATTTCGATAAAGGTAAGCTATATTCCTTAACGTGAAGACCTCATTCATCTAAGACACTTACTGAGTGCCTATCACACATGTATCAGGTAATATTCTACACACTAAGGATACAGATGTGAGCCAAACAAAAGCCAGCATTTAAATTACATTCAGAAGTAGATAATTGGTAACTGACAAAAGTTTAAGAAAATGTTAGGTGGTAACTGTCATAAAGCAGAATGTCATTTAAAAACTTAGGTAAGGATGTAGAAAAATGGAAAAAGTGCCACTCCAACCCTAACAACAGCAACAAAAACTGAATAACCCACAATGTCCTAACTTTTCCTGAAGCCAACAGAGAGCTATGGTCTCAGGGCTACTCTATGGTCTGACCTCTAAGGAAAGCTCATCCCCTCTTAGGAGAGATGGAGCACAGAATGGGGCAGATGTGAGAGTCACACAAGCATTTAAGAAGAAATTAGCTAAAATTTTTAATGACTTCCTAAGAGCCAAGTGTGGCCTAGAGTTAGATAGTGTGACTCTTGAGAGCTGGGGAGAGGGGCCCATGTGCATTCATGTGAGAGGGAAGACGCAAACAGCTTCTTCATGGTGTGGTATGACCTGAACCTGAAGATGAAAAGCTGGCCCTACAGGAGCAGCAGTGCCTCCCAGATTTTCTCTCTGGGGAATAAAAGCCCTGGGCTGCTGAGCAAACCCGGCCCAGGCATGGCATCTGGGGAGAGAGAAATGATATCTGGCTATACCTGGGATAAAGGCAGGAAACCCAAAGGAGTCCTGCACAACATGTACCTCCTACTGCAGGGAAAAGGCCAGGACCAATGAGAAAGACCATCCTGGAGATGCAGAGTGCTGGGGATGCCAAAGACTGGGGCTGGGGGACATTCTGGCTGGGAAGCAGCAAGTAAGCAACCACAGCAGCTTACTACAGGCAGGATCATGACTAGAAATAGACCCCAGAGTTGTAGGCACACAGGGAAGTCTGCCAGCTGAAGACTGAGCAGGAACACCAGGAAAATACCCTGGCAGCCTAGCAAGGGCTGGCTTTCAGCAGTCTAAAAGGGATGCATTTTTATATTCATATTTGCAGTATAGGTAGACTGCAAATCCAAGGGTAGACGTAAACCATGCAAACAGTAAGTGTGAGAAAGCTTTGAAGCTATATTAAAACAGATAAAAAAGACATCAATGCAGGGAGTATTGTTAGAGGCAAAGGGACATAATTCATAATAAAAAAGATTTACATATTAGGTAGATATGACAATTCTAATTGTATATGCACCTGAAAACAGACTTCAAATTACCTGGAGAAAAAAAACTGACAGAACTAAAGGAAGAAAACAACAAATCACAACAACCAGAGAGTTCAGCACACCGTTCTCAGTAATTGATAAACAAATAGACAAAACGAGAATACACAAGGATTGGAGTGACACTCCAGACCTCCTTAATTTAACCGACATTTTCAACACTCTCTCCCAAAATTGCGTAAGACACACTTTTTTCTTGGTTCACATGGAACATTTAGCATGATAGGCCATAGTGGGGAACATAAAACAAATTTAAATAGATGTCAAAGGAAAAAATATCTTACAGATTATGTTATCTGATCATAAGAGATTTGTTAATTAGAAATCAAGAAATCCAAGACATCTAGAAGAGCCCCTAGACTTGGAAACTAAACTACTGACTTCTAAACAACCTGCCAATCAAAGACAACAATTATAGGAAAGATTAAAACTATCTTAATTGACTGTGACACAGGTTACTCCAGAGGCACCTGCACACCCATGTTTATTGCGGCACTATTCACAATAGCCAAGTTATGGAAACAGCCAAGATGCCCCACCACTGACAAATGGATTAAGAAAATGTGGTATCTATACACAATGGAATTTTATGCAGCCATGAAGAAGAACGAAATGTTATCATTCGCTGGTAAATGGATGGAATTGGAGAACATCATTCTGAGTGAGGTTAGCCTGGCCCAAAAGACCAAAAATCGTATGTTCTCCCTCATATGTGGACATTAGATCAAGGGCAAACACAACAATGGGATTAGACTATGAGCACATGATAAAAGCGAGAGCACACAAGGGAGGGGTGAGGATAGGTAAGACACCTAAAAAACTAGCTAGCATTTGTTGCCCTTAACGCAGAGAAACTAAAGCAGATACCTTAAAAGCAACTGAGGCCAATAGGAAAAGGGGACCAGGAACTAGAGAAAAGGTTAGATGAAAAAGAATTAACCTAGAAGGCAACACCCACGCACAGGAAATCAATGTGAGTCAATGCCCTGTATAGCTATCCTTATCTCAACCAGCAAAAACCCTTGTCCCTTCCTGTTATTGCTTATACTCTCTCTACAACAAAATTAGAAATAAGGGCAAAATAGTTTCTGCTGGGTATTGAGGGGGGGGAGAGGGAGGGGGTGGAGTGGGTGGTAAGGGAGGGGGTGGGGGCAGGGGGGAGAAATCAACCAAGCCTTGTATGCACATATGAATAATAAAAGAAAAAGGAAAAAAAAACTATCTTAATTGAATGGAAATAAAAATACAGGGGCTGTTGCTGTAGCTCAGTTGACAAGTCCATGCTTAGCATGCTGGGTTTGCTCCCAAGCACCCAAAAATAATTAATTGAGGTTTTACAGAAAATCAAACAGGACCTGGATATTGGATAAATATATGAACAACATGCGAAATCTGTCCCATGGACATTATATCTGCTGTTTCCTTCCTCTTCACTTGTCTAAAGTCACTGATTCACACTTAGCCTAAGCACAACTGCTCTTTGAGAACTTTCCCTGATTCCAAATCTTCAGTTAGATGACCACCCTCCCCAAATTGGGGACTTACTTCACAGTGCTATGAATTTCTCCATAGCATCAACTATGCTTATGCTGTGATTGTATAATGTCAGTCCTCCCTACGGCTGACAAGCTCCCAAGGGGCAGAGGCCAAGTCTTTCATTATACCAAAAGCCTACCACCAAGCCTGGCACATGATAAGTGCTAAATAAATAACTGTGACTGAATGGATAGGCTCTTGACTTGGCTTGCACTGCACTCCTCTTCCATTTTTCCCACCCTGAGAACTCCTGGGCCCATATACCTGTAAAGCAGGGAATTAAAGGGCTGGCCTTTTAATTTAGGTCAGAATGGCTCATATCCCACCCTCCCATCTGTACCCCTGGGAAACAGGCAGAGAAGCAGACAGTCACCTTGTTGTAGGCCAGGCTAAGGTACCTCAGCTCCGGGAAGGGTGGGGCCAGCGTCTGGTTCCTGGCCTTCAGTGACTTCACAGGAAGAATCTCGAATATGGGAGGAAGTGAACATACCTTTGTAGTCTTGGAAGGAAAAAACAGTCAAGGTCAAGGTGTCCTAATGAGAAAGAAGTTAAAGCAGGCCCTTCCCAAGGAGTACGGTGGAAAGAATGACCACTATAGAGAGGCTTAACCAAAGAGACATCTAGAATCACCAAGGTCCAGAATTCTGACTCCAGGTTCTTTGAGGTCATGTGGTGAGCTAGTTCTCTAGCACCTGAAGTTCCACTTTCAAGTTCTCTGAGGCCAGAGAACACTATGGCAAGGCTACAAACACCAGAGGTCTCTGCCTCACCTCCCACTCTCTGCTCCACAACAGCTTCTTCTGAATTGGCCCTTCTATATGCAGTTGGGCTAAAATTTCTCCAAAAGGACAAGAGGGGGTGCTTGTGTTGTTAAGGGGAATTTTCTTAGCAAGGAGGAGGGCAGAAAGGACTTGAAATCTTGAACATCTGGTTTGATAGGCCAGCCCCCATCCTAGGATGGTTCTTCATCCTAGGATGAAACCACAACTAAGTCCTGACTGACCTGAGCCAGGCCTTGGGGCCTAAATGTGACCTATGGGTCACTTGCAGGGTCGTGGTCTCTCCAGTTAACCCAGACTGCCTCATGGCAGAAAAAGGAAACTGCTGTGTTAATCACACCTAACTCAGTTCACTCACAGCTTCCTTGAATTACATGGGTCCAAAGAGTATTACAAGGGTAGATGTTGGGCTAATGGTTAGGCTAGGAACTAACTGTTCTAAGCTCCATTTACCACTACATATGGCAATTCTGCTTGTTATTCAATGAACATTTGTGGAACACCTACTTTGGGCCAAGTATTTTGTGTTCTCCTGGCCTAACTTATAAAGCCACACAAACGGGACAGGTCAGTTACGGAGAATAAAACAAAAACTAGTGATACTATGTGCAAACTCATATGATTCCCTTTCCGGGTGACCCGAGACAAACTCTAAGAGAGCAGAGTAGAATGTGGCAGCAGTCTGACAAGGCAGTCTGCTCCACTATGCAACTCCCTAAAACAGACTTAAAAGCTGATTTTGTGGCTCAAGCAGTAGAGCACTGGCCTACCAAAACTGAGTTCCTGAGCTCAAACCTTAGTACTTTCAATATAAACAAACAAACCAACAAATAATAAAGGCTGATTTTGCTAAAAAGCACTGACTCTTCATTTGGGCCTGCAGCTGTCTCCTTTGCTACCTTAAACTTTGGGTCAGATTCCTGCTCAATTCTGCACATAGACATGTTAATCACTGAAGGAGTGCCTATATAAAAACTGGTAATATGAGGTTGATTAGTACTACATTAATCTAACCCCTTGCCCTTCTTCAAGGCTGAAGACACCAAGATTAGAGTAATATAATTTCAAGGTTTCAGGAACAGTGAGTCTTGCAGCCCATGACAGGAATAGAGGCTGCCCCAAGTGAGAGCAATCATCTCATGATGGGAAATGAAATATCCCTTCAAGCAATAATAACTTCCTAACAGCCACCAGGACCTTCCTGGTTCATGAGCACATCCATGTGCTGGGAGGGTGAAATGCTTGGATTCCATGGAAGAGGGTGCAGAAGTGCTGCATCTGGACCCTTCTAGGACTTTGCATGTAGCTTGTCCTTGTTTGTATCCTTTAGAGAAAAGCCATAGTTGTAAATATAACCCTTTTTGGAGTTTTATAAGTTGTCCTAGTAAACTGCTGAACCTATGTGGGTTGTGGGAGCTCCCCCATTTATAGCCAGTTGGTCACAAGTATGAATAGGTTGTGCCCCCAACTTATGGCTGGCATCTAACATGAAGGCAGTTTCCTTGGGAACTGTGGAGTCTGCACCAAATCTGGGGTGGCTAGTATCAGAATTGTACTGCAGGGTTACACTGGCCTTGTTGACTTGCTTTGACCAATAGAATGTGGCAAAAGTGACAGTGTTTGAATTTCAGAATCTTGCAATTCTCCCTCGTTCTTGTGAAACCCAGTTGCCACCATGCTGTAGAGAAATCCATGATGAAACGACCAAAGGCTAAGAGACAGAGGCGCTCGAGCTGGGCCAACTGTCCACCTGAGCCCGGCTTCCTCGCTAACTTGCGGCAGAGTGTAGCTGCATGATGAGCCTTGTGAAACCAGCAAGCCACTTTGCTAGCGAGCTCCAGTAACTGTTGACAAGTCAGAAGCCGTTACTGCTGAAAATCAGTAACTGTGGGTTTGCCAGGCAGCAAGAGTTAAGTGGTAGAATTTCTCATACGGCTGTGCTTGTGAGGAGGCAGCCTAGTGAGCTGCCCCTTAAGGATACAGGTGGCTAAACGTAGAGTTGTATTTATTTCTACAAATGAATATGTCAATATTTAGTCTCCATGATCTTGGCTGGTGAGCATCTGCTGCGAGAGAAAAATCAATTTCCTATGCTGATGAAAATCAAATGTCTAATCCTTTGACCCCAGGATCATACTGTGGGTGGTGTATCTGACAAGAATTTTTCCAGTTTAGCAAGGGGTCGTGTTAGAGACCTTCTGGGTTTCCTCCTTGTGACAGCCCCTCCTTAGCCAGGTCTATTGCTTGAGGAGTCACTGTTACTACATCATACTGAACAGTATCTGAGGATGGTGCGGACTAGAAGCCTCTTCAGTCCCTTCTGCATCTCCAGTAGTCAGCACAGTGCCTAGCACATGGTGGGCACCCAGAAAATCTTTTCAATGAATGAGTTTTCTTGCATGATCTATAGAAATGCCTCTCAAGGCATTAACTTATTTGATTTTGTCTATTACAATGAATGTTTTGGCCTGGGAATGTAGTTCAGTGGAAGAGCATTTGCCTAGTATTTGTGAGGCCCTGGATTTGATCTTCAGGACTACAAATAAATAAATAAATAAATAAATAAATAAATAAATAAATAAAACTGATGGTCTAACTCTAATACACAAATATGAAAAAGGCAGTTCCTACCTCTGAGGTGGAAAATCCAGGGTAAGATGAGAACACAACCTCTGAAACAAAAGAGAAATAGAATGAAGGTTGCTAAGAGCATGGGCCGGCCCCCTGAGAGGCCAGGGTTGGATCTGCCTCCCCCTACATATGGCAGGGTGCCTCCTAGACTGGTTCCAATGTTAATTGGGAAAAGGAGCAGCTATAACATATGTCAGGTAATAAGTCCTTTGCATTTAGAATAAAATCTAAATTCCTTGGCCAGGAAGGAGGTCACACATGGTCAGGGGGACCTGACCTACTGCTCTAATCTCATCTCATGCTACCCTCTTCCTTACACTGTATTTCAGCTAACCAGACCCTCTTCCTGACTTTGCTCTTTGTAGCTTCAGTGCCACTGGGAGTCTGTACTAAGTAGAAAGCTAACCAGTAGTCTTAGAAGAAAGAAATTAGTTATATTAGTGGAAACAGAATGTATTAAGCCAGCGAATTCAGCAGCATGTCCACAGTGGGAGGCCACAGAATGATTTCACTCTTTGGACCATCAGACTAAGATGAGCTCATAAATGGCTGAGTTCAACACAATGAATAAAGCAGAGCATCTGTGGGACCTGATCCTGTGCAGGCAGCACTCCCCTTTACCCTGGGTAATGGGACCGCCTCCTCATATTAATGATATTATAATGAAAGAGGTCACATGAATAAACACTACAAGGCTGGAACAATACCTCTCCCCTACAAAAAAAATAATTCTCCTAGATGGGGATCTGCAAGTGATTTGGGAAAGGTATGTGCTATAAACAAAGTCAGAGTTTGTCAAAGGACAGGCCATGGTTGCAAGTGTGGGTGCTAAGCAGTGATCCCCTGGAGAAACAGTCCCTACTTCTAGAAAGATGGGCTGCCTCACACTGCCTGAACGCAAGTCCTGCCCCTTCCCACTACCTTGGAGGCAACTCCAGAAATCAGAGTCCACACTCTAAGCTTCTGATTACAGATTATTACAAGAGAAAAGAAACAGTCAAGAATCTCCTGAGGGTGGGGGAGAGGGTGGTGGCCCAAAAAATGTATACACATGTGAGTAAATGTAAAAAAAACAACAAAAAAAATCTCCTAGGGAGGGGGTGGGGGCATGGGGGAGAAATGACCCAAGCCTTGTATGCACATATGAATAATAAAACAATTTAAAAAAATCTCCTAATATTTGAAGGAAATCAAACTTCAAAAAGTCATGAACTGTAAGAACAGAACAAGCACCTAGAGTTTATTTAACAAAAAGAATAAAAACTTTAAAATAGAACAATTAGTACTGAGAAATCTGAAAGGCTGTTTCATTTCTAAAACAAAAGGCTGTGTGGATGTGATACTACTAACAATTTTGTAAACTTAAAATATGATACTCAAATAAAAGATTTAATAAATGTGCTGGACAAAAGAACAGACCCAGCTGAAGAGCTGATTCATAAAATGGGAGATGGAGTTGAGAGACTCTCAGACTGCAGTACAAAAAGGCAAAGAAATATAGAGCATGGCAAAAAAAAGAACAGAGATAGATCTAAAATTTTTAGTATATGAGGAAAATTCAAAGGAAGACTACAGAGAATATAAAGAAGGAAATTAAAATTTTTTCTCAAAGATAAAAGAAACTGTACAATTTTTGAAAGAACTCTCAAAGTACTGAACAGGATAAATAAATTACATATCTAGCTGGGCACCAGTGGCTCACACCTGTAATCTTAGCTACTCAAGAAGCAGACAGCAGGAGGACATGGTTTGAAGCCAGCCAGGCAAATAGTTCTCAAGACCCTGTCTCGAAAATACCCAACATAATAAAGGACTGGCAGAGTGGCTCATGTGGTGCAGCGCCTGCCTAACAATTATGAGGCCCTGAATTAAAAAAAAAAAAAGAATTGCGTATCTAGATGCCTCTTAGTAAAATTTCCAAAGGAAAATCTTGAAAATTTCTTGAGAGCAAAAATAGCATCCTATAAATTGCACTGGACATAGTGGTGCACACCTATAATCCTGGCACAGGATACATGTGTGGGGGAGAGGCAGAAGCAGGAGTATCTTGAGTTTGAGACTAGTGTGGGCTATGTAGTGAGATCTTGTCTCAAAAACAAGGACTGGGGATGAAGACCAGTGGTACAGTACTTGTTTAGTATGCATAGGGCCCTGTGTTCAATCCCAAGTATGAAAGAAAGAGAGGGAGAGAAAAAGAGGGAAAGAAGGAGAGAGGGGGAGAGAGAGAGAGAGAGAGAGAGACAGAGACAGAGAGAGAGACAGAAACTATCTTAAGGCTATAATTCTCTACTTAACCAACTAGTATTTAAGTATCTTAACAAATAAAAGTAATTAACTTTGGATATTCGGGGACTCAGAAAATCTATGACACACAAACTGTATTTGAAAGAATCAAACAGCAAAATGAAAAGCAACATGGAATAGTAAACTATCTTTGTGATCTCAAGAAAGGGAGAAATTTCTTAAATAAGAATCCAAACCCACTAACCACCAGGTAAAATTCAATAGATCTGGTGTTATAGGCTAAGTTATGACTCCCTCAAATTTATGGTGAAGGACCTCAGAAATATGACTAGATGGGCACTGTCAAGGAGAGATCTTAAAAACAGTACTGATTGAAAAAAGTAATAGAATGAGCTCAATAACCATTATGTAAATTAAAAACACATTATACACAAAATAATATATAGTCTACAAAGATACATACACATATCCAGGGAAACATATCCTGTACAAGAGTGGGTGTTTATATGGAAATGAGGAATAGAGAATTAAGAGGAATAGAGATTAAGGATGAGGGAAAAAAGCAAAGGCATACAAGAAGAGCTTTGCATAGTCAAATCATTCCACTGTGCTGCAGACTGAGTTGTACAGTTTACTCAACCGTCTGCTCCTAAGTTACACATGTCCAAACATAAGAAGGAATTTAAGGAAGAGGAAGATTTGAGATGCAAGCAGCTATAGTGAGAAAGAAGTAAAACTAACAGTTTAGTTTCTCAGTCTAAAGAATGGTTGATGCATAATTTAAAAATAGAACCAATATAAATTATTATTAGGATTTATGTATTACGGGAGGCTATTGGGGGTAGGGTGGAGGAGAGAAATGCATATTTTCTTATTAATGGGAAGACTTGCATTTAGTCAGTTCTAGCTATTGATAGACAAAGGTGAGTTTTAATATGTGGATGGGATTTTAGGATAACTATTAGAAATATAGAAATGAGATGTATTACTTTAAACAATTAGAGGAAAATTGGAATTAAAAAAAGAATCAGTACTAACAAAAAGAAAAAAGAAGAAAAAAAACATGGGTAACTAGAAAACACACTAATAGTGGTAGAAATAAGATGGAACATATTCATGATCACAATTTAAATTCTTCTATTAAGAAAAGACCCATACTTGAAAAATATGTGATGCTAAATTGTTTTATATATTATATATATGTATATATATAATATACACAGGCAGTACTGGGGTTTGAACTCAGGGCTTCATGCTTGCTAGGCAGGCACTCTACCACTTGACCCATCCCTGCAGCCCTGCTTCTGAGATATTTTTAAATAAACATATTAAATTAAAAAGGGGCCCAATTCAAGGACAAGATTATTAACAAGCTAAGGTGTGATATTTTACAGTGATTGAAAAGCACACTCTACCAAGATAAAAGCCGTAAATCTAATAACAGAGAACTGAACCAGCTTAATGGTAAAAAATGCCAGCAATGCAAGAAGAGACTGACAAATCCCTAATAGTGGTGAGATTTCAATATGCCTCTTTCCAAAGTTAACAGACCAAGTAGACAGAAAACTTTTATAGCAGCAATCTGAATAACATGATCGTACCAATTATTACTTTATTATGTTTTACTTCCAAACCCACCTTCTCTGTTCTGCTTTGGGATGCTGGAGGTGGGCTCTGAAGACTAAATTTCTGCTTTACCAGCTGGTTTCCTGGTAGAATCTGACAATGAGTGATGTGAGAGGGAAACCACAAAGGCAGAAGAGGAAGAAGGGGCTTCCCTTCCTCTTGTCTGCTTCCCAAGGGTTTGCTGACTGCTTGGGATTCCCACTAATGCAAATGGAGACACACTTCTTCACCCTAGCAGCACATGAGTTCATCTGGCATATTTCCTGACTGGATTTATAAGCCAGCCTGATACTGACCTCCTATCCAGTGTCCTCTCCTCAGAGATCTGGGTCATTCCCCAAGGTCCTCTGAGCTCACAGATGCCAGCAGTCAAGCAGCTCTTCTCCCTTGGAGGCCTAAGTTTTAAGTTTACAGTCTACGGAGCTCCTCCTCCAAGCTTCTAACTTTTCCCCATTTCTAAAGAAAACTCCAGACTCTGGTGGCTTCATGGTGAATTCTTAAAATATTTAAGGAATGAAATAATATCAATCTTATCCAAACTTTCCTGGAAAACAAGAAAAAATACTGTGGACTCATTGCATAACCTTGATTGTAAATCCTCACAAGAATATTACAACAAAAGGAAAATATTACACCAACTTACTGCCTCAATCAGACATACAAAAATTCTCCAAAAAATATCAGCAAATTTGATTCAGTGACCATAATGACCAAGTGGAGTTTATCCGGGGAATGCAAGACTGGTGCAGCATTCAGAAATCAATCAATGTAATTATCCATATTAACAGATTAAAAAAGAAGTCAGATGAACATCTCAAAAGATGCAGAGAAAGAATTTAATAAAATCCAAGGTCCATTCACCATAAAAACTCTCAGCAAACTAGAAATACAAGGAAATTTCTTCAAATTGATAAAAAGCATCTACAAAAATATAAACAGCCAATTTGTACTTCTGAAATACAGAAAGCTTTCCTTCTGAGGCTGGGAAAAACACAAAGATGTCCACCTACCATCATCACTTCCATTCAATACTGTACTGCAAGATTTAGCCACCAAAATAAGGCAATAAAAAGGTATTAAGATTGGAAAGGATGAGGAAAAAATGGTTATCACCTATAGATGTCATGACTGTGAACACAAACAAATGAGAAAATGACTGGAAATGAGAAGTGAATTGAGAAAAATACTGGATACAAGTTCCATATTTCTATATACTAGCAATAAATAAGAGGGAATGAAATATAAAAAAGCAATACCATTGACAATAGCATAAAAGAGATCAAGTACCCAGGAATAAATCTGATGACAGTTTGCATAGTTTCATTACTGAAGAGCACAAAATGCTGCTGAGAATTTTTAAAGGCCTAAAAACTGTTGGGATACATCATTTTAATGCATTAGAAAACTCAGTATTGTAAAGATGCCATTCTCTCCATATTGACCTCTAGGGTCACTGCACTTCCAAACAAATCCCTACAGGATTTTGTGTGGAAATTAACAACACAATTCTAAAATTTATATGGAAATTCAAAGGCCTTATAATAGCTGTAGCTATTATACAGGTATTATACAGGCCTTTGTTGTCCTTTGCTAGGACAACAGCCTAGCTGCAGAACTTCACTACCAGGCAGTAACACTTGTTATAAAGCCACAATAATTTAGACACATACACTGTTATCTGACAATACCTCCCCTACAACTCAGTGACAGTCTTTCAATACATGGCTTTTTGGAGCCTTTTCAATAAATGGTGCTGGTTCAAAAATATATATGTTATATATATATATTATGTATGTTTATATATATAAGCAAACTTTGACCTTGACTTACAGTGTATATGAAAATTAATCCTAGACAGATCATAGACCAAAATGTTAAAACTAAAATAACCAAGCTTCTAGAAGAAAACATAAAAAAAAAATCTTCATGGTCTTAATATAGGCAAAGAATTTCTTAAAACAAGAAAGAAAAAGGCACTAACCATAAAAAAAACCTGATGAATTAGATTTCATTAAAATAAAGAACTTCTAGCCAAGAGTGGGAGCTCAACCCTGTAATCCTAGCTGCTTAGAAGGCCAGTCCCAGCAAAAAAAAAAAAAGTTTTTGAGATCCCACCTCAACAGAAGTTGTGGGTGTGGTGGTAAGAACCTGTCGTCCCAGCTATGAGGAAGCATAAAATATGAGGGCAGTGGTCCAGGCCAGCCCTGAGGAAAAAAAATGAAACCCTATATCAAAAATAACCAGAGTAAAAAAGGGCTGGGGCTATGACTCAAGAGGTAGAGTGCCTGCCTAGAAAGCATGAAGCCCTGAGTTAAAATAACAGTTGCTCCAAAAAGAGAAAAACAGTACTTCTGTTCATCAAAAGTCACTATTAAGAATATGAAAAAAGGTGGGGGCTCAAGTGAAACAGCACCTGCTTAGCAAGTGGAGTTCAAACTCCAGTAGAAAAAGGAAAGAAGGAAGGAAGGAAGTTGGGGGGGGAGAAAAGGAGAGGAAGAAACAAAAGAGGAAAAAAGAATATGAAAAAATCAAAAGCCAGGTGTGGTGGTTCACACCTGTAATCTTTGCACTCAGGAGGCAGAGGCAGAAAGATCATGAGTTTGAGGCTAGCCTGAGGTACACAGCAAACAAAAAAGCCACCCATTTTTTGTAATACATATATTTTAAAAAGACTTGTGTCAAGGATATATAAAGAACTTCAAAATATCAACAAGAAAAAGTTATACAACCCAATTTAAAGATAGGTGAAAGACTTGAAAGGTCACTTCTGTACTCAATATCACTAGTCATCTAAGAGATGCAAATTAAAACTATAATTCAATATCACTGCATACCCACCAAAATAGCTACAATTAGACTGATTAAAGTACAATACAGGTAAAATACTATGGCTAAAGTCCACTGGATAATGATCAGACACTTAAACAATGAAGGATAGGAATGTAAAACAGGTCATGTTAAGGGGAGAGAAATATCGAGAGGGGAGGGCAAATGAAGGGTAAAGATGGGTGAATATGGTTCAGGTACCTTCTATGTAACTATGAATATGACACTGAAACCTATCAAAGTCATTTTAAGAAGGGGGAGGGGGAAGAGGGAGAATAATGGAGGGGATGAACCAAACTGGGGTACACTGTACATATATATGGAAATGTCACAATAAACCACCCTGTACAACTGTTACATTAATAAAAACATTAAAAAATAAAAGGACTGAGCCTTTGTGAAGATGTGGAGTAACTGGGAATTTCTTACATTAGTGTGGGAGCAAACACTGGTACAATGACTTTAGGAAAGTGATGGGCAGTATCAACTATGCTTACCATACTTCTAGAATCTATGACTCAGTAATTCACTCCTGGGCATATACCCCAAAGAGATAAGTGCTTATGTCCACCACAGGATATGTAAGAGGATGCTCAAGCAGCTTCATTCATAATAGTCCCAAACCAGAAATAACCAGAATGTCTATCAACAGTAAAAAGGAAAAATAAATTATGGTATTAGTGGAATAAATAAGAGCAATGAAAAGGGCAACTCTACTGATATATATCGAGAAACATTAATGAGTCCATGGACATACATTAAGTGAAACAAATCAGACTCAAAAGAGTACACGTTATACAATTCCAAGTCAGGACATGAATTCCAAGTCAGGGTAATCAAATCTATGGTGACAGAAGTCAGAATGGTGATTATTCTGGAAAGAGGTATTGATTGAGGGGCTACCCCTGGGACACTGGAAATGTTCTGTATTGTGATGTAAGTCATCATTAAAAGGGTATATATGTAAAAATTCAGGTTCAGCACAAGATTTTTGTATTTTACCTGATATAAGTTATTTTCCTCAACTTAAAATAAATGTAAACAAACAGGTAGTAGGTAGCGGCACAATAACAGTTAACTAGATCCGTGGGACAGAATATATGATTCAGAGACACACTCATATTAAGGGATTTGGATTACCACACAGGTAACATTCCTTTTTGCCTCTCAACACTGCCATGTGGATGTGGTTCTTAGAACTGTGATACCCATCTTGAGACCCCAGCAGGAACCAGCCTAAAAGGATAAGTAAGTGGGCTAGAGGTGAAGAGAAGGGGATGGAAAGGCCTAAGTCCCTTGAGAACACCCATGCACCAAAGAATCAACTGTCTCTGGAAAGCCTTCTTTCTGGTTTTCTTATTATTTTGGATTTCAAAAGCATCTTAACGGACAGAACCAGTTAGGAAGTCATTGAAACAGCTCAAGTCATGGAACAGTTCAGTTTAAATGCAGCAGTTCCCCAGGGAGCCACTGGGGAGGATCGGGATAGAAGTGTACTCTACCACAGGGCTAGCATCTGGAACAAGAGGCATTGCTCACCTGTGCGGTCAACGTCCTTTCTCATGGGCAGTATGGTATAATCTGGTTGCGCATCTGAGGCCTCAAACATCCACGACTTGGACTGCAGCACAGCTTGGGGTTCTTTCTGGGGACTTGCCCTGCCTCCAACCCCGTCCCCTGACCCATCACGGAGCTGAACCTGCTGTAGGTACGGGATCCGGAAAATCTTGTTTTGGTCCAGGCTTAACTTCTTCAGTCTTCAATTAAGGAAAGTGAATACAGAATCACAGCAATAATATACCTCAGGGATATTACCAAGCAACTTAGGGAAGGAATATGGAATCAGTCTGAGACACATACTCCTCTTGTGTGACCTTGAGCCAGTGACTTACCCTTTCTGGACTTCAACATCCCTATCGTTAAAGGGGACAATATTTACTCACTGGTTCTTGGGAGGATTAAATAAAACAGTATATAAGTCGTCTAGGACAAAGCAGTATTCAGTAAATGGTAGCTGAATCCAAAGGAAATTTTCCAGGGATTTAAGACTCCATCATTTAAAGTCCAGTTTTTTCTTCACTTCAACCACATAAGTAGAACTTAGCAGTTAAACTTCTCTTTTTCATTTTTTTTTTTTTTTTAGTTTGTCTCCTCTCTCAGGGTCAGCATGCTATCTTGGATATCTCCTTCTACCCTCCTTTCTCGTTGCCACCTCTAGTCACGTGATCAGAAATCTTTATTGGTGCCCCAATTGTATGATGAATTAAAGCTCAAAGGGGAGAAATGACTTACCCAAGGCCACACAGCAGAGATAACTGGTGGAGCAGGGACCTAACCCCAGGCCTTTTGGTTTGTGGAGTAGCCCTCTCAGTGTGTGTACGGCTGGGTGTAGGGAAGGGCCCTGCAGAGGAAGGCTTGTGGCTTTACCTCCTGAGCCCGGCCAGGCTGGCAAAGCAGTTGGGGTTGGAGAGTTTGTTGTCATCCAGCATCAGTGTCTCCAGTGCTGGGAACCTCAGGATGTATTTCTTGCTTGTCAACGATGTTACGGATGCCTCCCTGTGAGTGCAGAGATCTTGGGTACTGAGCAAGTGCAGGGTAAAAGCTCCACCACTCCCAGGTAAAATGGAAGATAAGGAATTGACTTGGAGGACTAACAAGCCTGGGAACTTCGCTAGTACACAAGAGAGGTCCCTATAAAGATGGATAGAAAACCTGGCTCACACATACAGGCTTCTCTATGAAGAAAGTCTACATGTCATGGAGGTGGGCTGGAACAAAGTGGGGGGCACTAGCTGCAGCAGGTTGGGGAGCACTGGCCTGGACCAGACCAAGGTGAATGAGGCATGGCAATTTAGGGGGAGCATTCAGCAGGTAGAACACTGCATAACTTTGGCTCATGGCAGACTCCTGGGTATGCTATGTCACCCCAGAACTGGTAACCATGGGAGCACCATCCCCTTGGCCAGGACCACAGATTTGCCACCAATATCTCTCTGAGGAGTCCCAGAAACACCTGAGAATGAGATTTAATAGATGAGGTCCTAAATTCCACAGGTGGGAAGGAAGTGGTGACATCTTAAGAACTACTATTAATGTGTTGTGTTCCCCAGTGGTTGAGGCTTAGGTGACTCAAATAAATAAAGGCAGTTGACTCAGATCATAAGCACATTCCTCCCTCCATATTTCATCCCACCCACATGCCAAAACAGAAATACCTATGGACATACAGGCATAAACACACACTCACGTACGTAAGCAACAAACACACACACCAGATGAAGGGAAACAAATATTTATTCAGATCCTACTGCATTCCTGGCATTGTGTTAGGTGTCCTGTATGTGTTATTTCAGAGTCTCAGTGGGGGAGGATAAGTATTATTTACCTGCTTTTCAAATCAGGGAACTTAATTCAGAGCAACTTGCTAAACATCTCATAGCTAGAAAGTGGTAAACTCAAACTAGTCCTAGTTCTTTCTGACTCCAAAACTCAGGCCATTTCCACCTTGTCCATTCACATCTTCAAATCCCATATGGATTAAAGGGTGGGGAGAGGAAAGGGGAAGCTGTTCCTGATCAGAGATAGGCAGAGTTCAAAAGCTAGCACTGGAACATAACCTTAAGTCAGGAATATCTCACAGGTGGATTCAAGAGAAGTATATAGTCATTCGTTCATTCATCCAGTCACAAGTCTCTACCACACAAACTTAGTAGCCAGATACTGAGAATACAAAAAGAAAAACAATACACCCCCTCTTCAACATGTGTGCAGTTTTGTGGAGAAGGCCCAACACAACGCACACAATGGGACAACGCTGTTAACAGAAGTAGGTGGGAAGGGCTCAGGAGAGGTAATGCTAAAGCTAAACCATAAAGAATGAGAGGGACTCTGGCATACTCTTAACCACTTTGAAAGAGGAAAAGAACAGGGAGAGAAACCATCCCTTTGTGGATGGATCTGTCACAGAATTAGAAGCTCTGGACAGCCATGTTTCCTCCCAGAGAGACACATACAGCCCAGTTGTGAGGAAATGCGTGGTGAGTCAGAGAGGAGCAGATGGAAAGTTGAGAGACAGAATATCCGAGCTGCTCCACTCTGCTTAGGACCTATATTCATTAACATAGGACCCATCTGTCTTTAAGGCATGGCCATGAGAATCCTCCGTGTCCTTATAATGAATTCCCTCCTTTTTTGCTTACTCTAAACCTGACAGACTTCTGAGGATGATGACAATGCTGACTGAAGAAGGGACAGGACAGATACCATTTCAAGAGGGGCACTGGCAGCAGTGTGGGGAACAGGTTTGAAGTCCAAAGACCAGAGACACTTAACAGAGAAGGCAGGAGGCCTTGAGTTCATGATATTTCAAGGTCAAAGGGTCTCTTTTCCTGTTTCTGGAAGAACTAACTTTCACACATTGAATTTTTAGTTTCTACTTGAGAGCAAGAACAGAATGGTTCTTGCTCTGTTGATTTATAATTGGTTGTCCAATATTTATTTTACTCCAAAGACAAATGAAACAGCTATGAGATAAGCCTTCAAAAAACTTCCTCTTAAGTGCCATCATGGAGAAAGCTGGCTCTGTCTTGTCTATGACAAATTATACTGCCTTTTTTTTTAAAGTTCCACCCTAATAATAACATTGGAAACACTCATTTTTGTCTGTAAAATACATGTCTTAAAAGAGGAGCAGTCGTAGGATGAGATGTCAGTGGCAGCTGCAGAAGCTCTCCCGCAGACCCCTTCCCACATGGTCTCACCAGACAAGCTCTCTAAAGTGGCGGCTCTGCCAGAGGTGGAGAAGTAGAGATTTCCAGCTGTTCAGAGTGGTGCCATTTTTAACATGCTTTCTCTGGAGATTTCCAGCTGTTCAGAGTGGTGCCATTTTAACATGCTTTCTTCTGGGAAAATATATTAGTACCATGTTTGGGTGGAAAGCTGAAAGATTTACACTTAATGGGTTGATTAAAAAGCTAAGTAGTACAGCCCGGGTGATTGGGAAATTTTCAGTTCACGGCGATAATAGAGAATAGACCTAGGAACGGGGTTTAAGAGCTCTGAGCTGAGGCTCTGGTGCTGCCGTTGTTTTGCTTGTTGTGTGACTTCTAGCTGGTATTTAGCATCTTTGGGCCCAGAGTCCCCATCTGTATAGTTAACAGGGATTTCTTTTATGTTACCTTGTAAGACTTTAGATTGGACCAAAAATGTTGCTCAATAGACTGAACTAAGTGCAAACAAGATGAAACTTACATCCGTAGAAATGTGAAACTGGCTTCTGGGCTAAGATACAGAAAACCCACTACACACATCTGGGATGAGGAAGACCTGGCTTAACAGACCACTTGTATAAAAGAACACTCATGTTGTGGCTGCTAAAAGGCTAGTACTCTTTTAGTGACATTATTAGGAATACTGTGATTAGAGGAGGTAACAATGCCTGAGAAAGTTGACATGGGTGGTTCAAGGCAGAAAAGGAAGAGGCCTAATCAGAGAGCCAGAGTAACAGAATTCAGCTCAAAACAAATAGAAGAGCAAACTAAAGAAGAAGTAGGTCAAATATGAATTCCCCTAACTCACCTGGACCGAGATAAATAATAGTATAATTTAAAACCGGCAAATGGAGATGGAAAGAGTTCCAAACACTCATCTCAACGTGTCATGATATGGAAAACGTGAAGAGAAATGAAGGTGAAGAAGTAGGCAGTTGGGTCATGAAAAGCCTTGGGTGCGATATCAATGGAGTTTATCTTTAGGACATTAGGAATCAGCTGAAGGCCTTTAAAGGGCAGTGATAAAGTCGCATGTGCATTTTTGAAAGATCAGTCTGGCTGATGGTAAGGAACTGGGTCAGAAAGCAAGAAACTGGAGACTGAGACCAAGCAGGAGGATAACAGAAATGAGCAGGCCCAAGAAACATTTAGGAAGTACAGTTCACAGCATCTGGCAGTTGAACGCATTGCAGAATGAGAGAGAGCAGAGTTCAAGTGGATCCAGGTTTCCAGCTTGGACAATTACACAGCAGATGGAGAGGGTGCCAACCACCAAGGTTGGGGGAAGTCAGAAAAGATTCTGACATAAGGATGTGTGTGACAAGTTTGGTATAAGTAGGCAATATAGGCCTAGAGCTCAGAAGACAGAAGTGAGGTAGCCAAATAACCCAAATACTTGGGAAGGGACAGGACCATCAAGAACAAGTATTTTAAAAATGGGTGCAGGTAGACAACTGAGGAACACTAATGTCTAAGAAGCTTGTAGAAGAGCAATGCACTGAACATGTTGAGAAGACAGATGGCTAAGAAGACAGTAATGCCAGTAACACTTGTCTGGAGTCCTGCAGCTTTCACAGCACAATGATCTCGAATGGTAAGTCTGATTTAGACAGGAGCACATTTACTCTGTCCCTCTTATAGATAAGGCAATGTGTTATGGTTTGGATCTGAAATGCCTGGCCTCCGCCACCTGCCACACAAGGCCATGTGCTACGGCTTGGTTGTCAGCTGATGGCAATAGGACCTGGTGGTAGGAAGAATATATCTTATTATTCTCCCTTTGCTCACACGCTCTGGTTTCTGGCCAGTATGAGATGAGCAGCTTTGTCCCACTACTTGCTCCCTACCATGATGTTCTGTCTTGTCACAGCCCAAAAACTATGGAGCCAAGTGACCATGAGCAAAAACCTTTGAAACTGTGAGACAAAATAAACCTTTCCACCTTTTAAATAGTTTCTCTCAGGTATTTTGTCACAGTGATGAAAAGTAGACACAAACAGGAAACACAGGGTGATGGAGACTTGCTTTACTTTATGTAACAAGGGTTTCCACTGAAAGCAATTAGAATGATTATCAGAATATAGAAAGAAAAAAGATCCATAGTTTAATATGTGCAAGAGATATGAAAAAAGTAAGGAAGCAATATGCCAAATACGAATTTCAGAGAGAAACTGAGAGTAGGAAGCCAGTTTAGCCTCAAGAGGATGGACGTCTCTCTCACCTTTCCCTCCTACCCCATCTGAAAGTGAACTGTGGTTTAACAGCCTAGGGGATCAAAGGCCAGGGCACAGTGAAGGCATGAGACCCTCTGTAAACCTACAATCCCAAAGGGACTCACCCTGAGCATGGCACGACCCAGAACCAAACCCAGTCCCCTCATCCCACAGTTAGGAAAACTATCTGAGAGCAAACAGAGAAGGGGAGTTGACAAGGGAAAACTGGTCTTGTAAAACCATAGCCCAAATCTGTAACATCAGAATGGTCCAGAAAATAACCAGTCAGGAATTTGGTTTAAACTGACTCCAGGGGAAGGGAAGGATGAAGGAGAATTGTGGAGGGGCTGAATTCAAGTACAATATATTTGATATATAGTAAGAACTTTTGTAAATGCCACAGTATATCCCTACCCAGCACAACAATAAAAAAAAAAAGAACCAGATTGCATACTGAGTGCCCTAGGCACCTGGCCAAAATAAATGGAAAGGTTTATGATATAGCATATTAACTAATATAGGTCCACTCCTTCTTGAGCATAAATAAGAAAGGTGGGGCAAAATATACATTTTT